CCTTCCAACTCCTAATATTCTGTGATTTCTCTTTATACAAAGAATCCACAAAAGTATCCCAGAGACGTCATCTCAGACACCCACTAAAAATAAAATAATAAATGCTGATGGCTGATCCTGATCCCTAATTTGAATCTGCAGCACAATGCAACAGTTGCAAAACGGAGCCACATTCTCCTGAAGGATCCCCAGCAGTATTTCTGCTGAGAGATACGAGATCCAGAAAAACCTCCTGTGCAAAACCTTCTGTACATTCAGCTGATGAACAGAGCTCAGCCAGAAACCTTGGCTTTCTATGAGGTTACACGGGCTTGGCAAAACTCCTTGCAACAAACGAGCGTAATTCCACCCAGGGAATCTGAGATAAACCCAAGCTCTTGAGAGGCCATACAGTCAGGGCATTTGTCAGAATGCCTCTACCTTTTCCTCAAAGCAGAAATCTCAGTCGTCAGAAAAGGCTGTGTTCCTGAGGCTCACTGAAAGACCACAAAAAAAAAAAAAAAAAGAAAAATAGAAAAATTGCTTTCATTAAAATGAATGCAACTGCTTTTCAAAACAGTTTCCCAGTCACAATCTCAGGAGTCCCTGCCTTGAAGGACCCTTGCCTTTGTAGTAAGGCAAACATGGTAATTCAACACAGCATGTTTTGAAATCATCAGCCAACAAAATTTCATCAGGATCAGACAGTCTCCTATGGCACATACTTCACTTTTAAAAGTTTATGGAGATTCTCAAGTGTTTGGGTAGTTTTGAATTTGAAATTCCACCTTTAAAAACTTATGCAACGCTTACTCCTGAGAGTCTTAGATTTGCTTTGTTTTTTCACGTTCACATTTCTTGGCGCTACTCTAGTGAGAGTACGTACTTTACACTGAAACATTAACTGCTGCAATTTCTAACATTCTTCCAAGAAACTTGAGACTATTATACGCTGCCTAATCTTCCTGAGGGAGATTTTAAGTATTCTGGCTGGCTATATTACTAACACATGAAATAAACAAAAAATACTTCCTTCCACAACAGCTCAGTGTGTCTGGAAGAGAGAAATGCAGAGGGGAAAAAACCAACCAAAACAAAACCAAAAAACCCACAACTGAGGGTTTGCTAACGCAGCACCAAAGTTGATACCATTTCAAATGGTCAGTCTCTGATAATCCCATTACAGCATGAGTCACACCACAGTGGTAAACAGAAGTGTTCAAAACTTATTACCAAACATGCGAATGCTATGGGCAAGGTGAGAAGTTCAGCAGCTGAGATGACTGCAGACTCTACCAGCAGAATGCAAACCAGCACGTTTGTGCCAGAGATAGAATATTTAACCAGTACTATTCAGAGCACTGAAGGTGATTAATCAACAACAAAAGACGATGACATTCAGAAAACTGAAGACAACATTCTGTCCTCTTGGTGGCTAAAAGCTTTAAATTAGTTTGAAGCCAGTGCTTGTTGAGGTATCACCTTTTTTATAGACAAGACATCTGCAGTAAGATGCAGTAGTAAGACAGTAAAGATGGCCCATGCCACCTTGGCTGTCTACATTGTTCTGGGCATCTTGACTTTACCTGGGTAACTGCTGAACGAGACACGGCTGGTGCTGGTGGCTGGATCAACTATATTGAAGTTCCAGTGCTTATATATTCTCAGTGTGGCTGCATATGTAAACCAGCTGGAATGGGCAAAATAGATATTCTCATATCCAGGTAGAACCTGGAAAACAGAACCAGAAAGATGAATAATTTCAGACCCTACTGTAGTCTGCATATTTCGTACTTGACAAAACTAGTTGTTCTCACAGTTTAAGTAGTTTGATTAATTGCATTGTTCAAGAAGGGGTAGATTCTTGTGCTTTTAACTGTGTACTCAACAATGAATCACTGAAACCTTTGGAAATTATTCTTGCCTACGTGTTGTTTTCAGATAATTAGTTATTTTTCAAAATGAAATAGCTTAGGGATTTCTGGGACACATGCAACACGTAGTGTTTTGTTTGCCTGGTTTCCTCTTGAATACTTGTATTTGTAGAGCTGATCTGAATGTGTAAATATATCCAGCATTACCTTAGAACAAGCCATTTCTGTCAAAATGCCTCTGGGTGACTTTAAAGTACAGAAACAAACACAGGTAAATTCATTTTGAAAAGGTAAATGTATATATCGATAGCACATCTTTTCAAAGTATGTTCCTGGTTCTAAGATTTGTTGTTAGCTCGGAAACCTCTTGCTGTAGGCAAGTGCTTGAATGAATGCTTCTGAATTTAAGGTGAATATTGTTGCACTAAGATACACATAGTCTCCATATGCTGACTAGATCCTTGATAATTTTAACTGAAAAATTTAATTGCCACCATGATGTATCAGACACCTTAAAAGCATTTTTTCTGTCATTACTCCCATTGGAAAGCCATTCCAGATTATCACTGTTAACACTCGGAAAATATCAGCCACTCGCACCCATTTGTTCTTGTACTAGTACTGTCCTTCAGTTTAAGTAGTCCTCTTCCCTTCTTCCCTGCTTATTTGCCCAGTGTATTTGTAGACATTCACAATATTCTCTTTCAGACTTCACTTAGCTGGGTGAAACAAGTTACCATCTTGCAGTCTCCTCTCCATGGTAGTTCCCCATTCCCTAGTAATTCTAGTAGCTTTTCATTGTCAACCTCTGTGGTTTTGGTTAGGTTTGGTTTAGTTTGTCCCTGCCCTTGAACACAAGTGAGCAAAACTAGACCCAGAAACCTATGAAGGCACAAATGACAAGTGCATAAAAGCACCCTGATTGACAGAAGTCTCTTTATGCACATGCGAGAAAAACAAAGACTCCAGAGACACAGGCTCATGATTCTGCAGACAACACAGTCACTGCAGATGAAGTTCTTGGTGCTCACCTTGATGAGTGCAGAGCAGTGACCCATATCCCACTGATATTTCCCATGGCCTCCTGGCTCCACATTGCATTGTCCACCCCGTGCAGAATACTCAAATAACGCAGGAATGAGGTCCAACAGGTCTCCAACTGCATTCAGAAATTGGACATCAAAGATGCTCAGTGGCTAAGGGAGAAAAGAAAGACCACAAAAAGCACTTTCAGACAGACACATCAAGACAGTCTCAGCTGTTAGAATTTTTCTTTTGCTCTCAAAGAAAGCTCTCATGTGGTTTATGAAATACCTGCTCACAAGGCCCAGATGTTGAAACTCAGAATCAAATTAGGCACCTATGTATCTTTAAGGATCTATCCCTAATAGTGGTATTACCAATGCTAGCATTTTAATGGAAAAAAGGAGACACCAGCAGTGACTGGTGAATGAAACTTCGATGTCCCTTTGCAAACAGCAAATCCAATCAGTCTTACTGATCAGATTCATCAATCAGTCTGCTGTTACTGCTACTCTGGGGTAATAGTAAGATTTCAACTTATTTTTTTGTTCACCTTTGAAGAACTTTACATTAACAAATACTCTTGGAGTTTTTGGATGTGTATGAAGACCATGATTTAAGACAACCTCAGGACTGTGGAGGAGGAAACAAATGAGAGGAGGAAGACATGATAACAATACTAATCACGTATGGAAGTAGCTGAAGAGAGGAAGTCAGTCAAAAGGCACTCCACTATGCTACATGCTTGCAAAAATCCCTTATGGTTAGAGCTAACCAGGGTTAACTACACAGCTCATTGTGCAACGTGCTCTTCAGGACCTTATCTTAACTTGCCTCTTCAAAAATAAGAGCTTAACAATGGTCTAACCTCAACCTTCAAAGACTGTTTTCTAAATCTTTCCTGTTCTCCTTGCACCATGCCTTTAGTTAAGGCAAAGCTTAAGGAAAAGAAGTCAGAACACACATCACTGTAGGGCTATGAATAGTAATTCTAGAATGGGACATAATCATATAGCAAAGACACACATTGCTTGCAATGTAAATCACTGTTATTAAACCACACAGCTGACGTCTCTACAAACCCCAATAAAGGGGAGACAAGAACATGGAAAAGTTAAACAGCATCAAATCCATTTACTATGCATTCAGAAGGTTGAATTCTGTATTATACATCCACTGTTTTGGCAGAAAGAGTAACCAAGAGGAAAACCAAAACTAATGTAAACTCCACTCCATTTATCCCAGGGGAAAGAATTAAAGCTTCCCACAATGCTTACCAAGACAAGTGAGAGAAATAAGCCATTCTCACAGCTGAAATCACTGCAGAAGGCCCTAACAAGCAGCTATAATTTGAGGAAGAAATCCAAAGCAAACTTTCATGTATGTTATATTGCTTTAGCTCATTCTGGTTTTGCTGCAAGGACCCAGACAGGAAGCAGCAAAGATAAACAAAGATAACTGATAAACATCACGAGATGTAACTTTGGATCGTTTTAAGCAGCTCAGTGGTATAAATCATCTACAAACAAGTCCCAGCAATTGCCATCTCACTGGAATCCATATAGATAGGCACTGTTTCAGCACATTTTTCCCACCATCCAGCTGCACTTAAAAGTCTGCAAACCCACCATGCAATGAGAAGCTGTTTTGCAATGTCGAATTTACTTGGGCATTACTGTACACTACCACCAGGAGGGGTGCAAACAGGACTGCATATGAGACTCCTCAGGCAGCCCTGAGACATTTTAATTTTATTTGCCATCCATCTGGCAAGTATATATTCTCCTCCATAAAACCTGCCTTCATTGCAACATGTACAGGTAGCTATGCTGATACTGCTGCAGCATCACTTGGAATTGCCTGCATACTTTATAAAAGTAAAGTATTTCACATGTCTCAGTCATTTCAAGTCAAAAATTCAGAAACTACTAGGAAGTCCATTCAAGTTTGAATGGAGATGTCAAGCAAGGAAGCTGTCAGAACTATACACACAGAAAGGTGGCCTGAAAGCAGGAAGAAAGACTCACTCAAACAAAGAAACAAAGGATAGATAAATTCCTAGGACTCCACGGGATAAGATTAGGCTGTCGCCTCCCAAAGCCACCCAAAATACCAGAGTAGTAAAAGAGGAACTAGGTTGTTAAGTACCCACAAGGGTTCTGTTATTCTCCTTCTGAGAGGCAAGCAAATTTTGTTCTGCTTTATTTCCCAGAACTCATTGCTCTGCTTGGATAAACTTGGCTTTCTGTTCAAGACTGTCTGATGGTCAGGGACATCACATGAGCACACTGCTCAGAGCTCCTTCTCTCAAATATAAGACTTGGGCATCTGCAAAGCAGGTCAAATTTGGGAATTTCAGGAGCGGCCTGAGGTGTCTGCCACAAGGCTGAGAACCCCAGCTTGGGAATTACTACAGCTGATTTCCAGGATATATGGAGCAGTCTTCTCTGGGAGGAGTTAATCAGTGTCCACCAGCAAGAATTTGACCAAAAAAAGTGTGCATAATAACAAATGCATAATAAAGGGCATATTAGAATCTTTGTAATCACCTTCTCCCATCTCACACAGCAATGTGAGGAAAACTGCTTGCATGCATGGTTTACATCCTAAAGAAGGATGAATGAGCTAAATTGACAAGCAGGGAGGTGGTATAGCCACAACAAGAAAAGTTATTTTGCTAGAATGTGTGGTTCTTCCTCTAGGGTACTGTCCTGAATAGCAAAAAAAAGTCAAATTGAGTTTGAGTTACATCAGCTGCAGGGAGAAATAAACTTAGAAGAACAGGTAGGAGAGAACCAGCCTTAAAGGCTTATCTACATGGGACATCAAAATAGACACTCTGTAACAACTGTTTCCAGTAACTTCCCCATGCATGAGCATTCTCAATACAAAATAAGGATGTGCAAATAGAGAGCTGTCCTAAAATTAGTGTACCACTAAAAACTCTGACACCTCCTTATTCAGGAGTAATTTCCCTGTGTAGACAAGCCCAAGATTAATCACAGCGTTGGTAGAGCATTAGGCAGATGAAAAGGCTTAATGTTCTTTGAGTGGCCCTCCTTCAGAAATTGTCTTGACAAAAGGGTTGGGTTTGTTTACTGGATATAAAATGTTGCCAAACCAGACAGAATAATTTCACGCTTTAACATGAAAATGTATTCAGATTTTGACATCGTTCTTAATGATACCTGTAAATATCAAATCCAAAGTAGAGAAGTCCACAATACACACTACTTTCATGCAGATCTCAATGAAAGCACCTACCTAAAACAGCCCTGCAGGAAACCAGACTTCATACAATTAAAAAAGAAAAGCTTAGAAGAGTACACTACAAAACATATGCTTCATACACATAGGAATAAAATAAAATATATAGATAGTACTACTATCAAATAGTACAGAGTCCACACCGGATTTTCTTTCTGTAATAAGGCGCAGTGATTTGTGGCAGACAGGTTCTACAATTTTCAAGCGAAACCTTCAGAGACCTGAAGTTTAGAGAAGAAAAGGAAATTGGAACATTTCAGAGTGACCTGTGTGTACATGAACCAAGTCTCATTTAAGCACTATATGGATTTGGCATAGCTTCAAACTACTGTGCACTGGACAGGACAACTGAAAGTCAGATCTTTTGACTTGTCTTTCTCAAATAAGTGCACACCAACTAATCCATCACATGTAAAACTCCAACTACTTTAAAGTTTGAAAAGGTATGTGTAGTGCTGATGAGAAACCTGATAAGAAACCTTGACATGGGACAAAATTAAAAGCAGATTAGCAACTGATACAGCTTGTTTCCGTTCTCCTGAAAAGGGAACAGTTTCGTTCAACTTTGCTCATTGTTGAAATCCACACTTTATAAGCACAGCCCCTTTTCTCCATCTTTTGCCCTATCCTTGTTAACCAACCAACTTCTTGGTGTTCAGGAAAGCACTTTGTTCATGTACAAGCATTTGTTGTGGAGGGGAGGGAATATAAGAACTTCGAAATCCATCTCCTCCTCTCTTTCTCTTCCCCATGTCTCTGATCTTTTGGGAGTTAAGAGGAAAAAGTAAGACTTCCCAGCCTTTCTTCTGCAGCACTCAGCCTTTTTGAAGCTTAGGACATTGAGGAAAAATTGCCCTCTGCACATAAAGGAATAATTACAGAGTAATTAGAAGTATTTAGAAGAAGCATGCATAGATTTTCCTAATAGCAGGTAGAACATTAGGCAAAAAAAAACAGCCTGTCATGTGTTGGGTCTTGGTTTGGTTTTGGGGTTTTGACATAGGTGATAATGCCAAAAGCTAAAAATTGTGAATGGCATTGGAAGGAGTCGAAATAAATCCTACTACCTGCTCCAGGCACATCTGGGTTAAGAACTATAGATATCTACTACACATAATTCAAAAATAGAGGACACTGATATTCCAGACTGAACAACATATTTGAACTTTCACTAAATGCATCGTTTTTATATAGGCATACTGATGAAACAGACAAATAAAGGATTAAGAATGACTCAATCACTTCAGAGATCAGTGCATTTTAGTATCAAACTCGCAGTTAAATAAGTAGCAGAGAATACACGTTGCAGATTGAACATGCCTATGATAAAGAAATAGCTCAGGCACAAACTAGCACTTTCCTTTCTTCTCATCTAAATCCAAATTACTCTGAAACAGCTAAAAAAAATTGAGCTTTGCAGAGCTCTTCAGATTCAGGTGTTATGAAAGGGAATTATTAAGTTTTTTCCTAGAAAGTAATTTCTTAGTATCTTCCCTAAAACTCAGGATGGATCTCTCCATTATTGTAAACAGTCTTTTCTTTTAGTTTAAGCCAATTCCCTGTTCATGAAAGCCCCAGAGAAAGTTCTATGCAAGAAAGAGATGTGTGTTTTATTAAAACCCAACTATTATTTAGCACTCACAGCTTCTCTAAATTCTTGATATGATTAAACCAAGACAAAAGGGGTCAACTACAACTACTCAAGTCCTCCCTCTCATATTGAGAAACCTATTAGACATTGCACTTAAGGACAGCACTGTAATTACAACAGCTCTACTGGAGTTAAAGGAGCTCTGCTATTGCACACAAGCTGTTGATCTGGGATACAATTCTAATTGAATTGAAAAAAAAAAACCAACCAAACCACAGAAAACAAAAACAAAACAAACAAAAACTCCATACCCCATTTGGCCTGCCTTACTGGCCATATATTCTGTAATGGGAGACAGAAGACAGAAAAGGAAATTCAGCAACACAAAACATAGTACAAAATAGAGAGGCTTTTAAGATCTGAAATCTGATGCTTGGAAATAAGAATGAAAGCTTTAACACACTTCTTACATGCTGATTCATGCTGTTGCAGGTACTCTTTATACCTAGAGGGTCATTTGCTCAGTAACAATCGTAAAGTGAGGACAGCAAGCACTTGAGAAGTGTCTGTCCTTCCAACATTCACAAGGAAAAAAAAGTCAGCCCCAATCCGAGCAGCATGTGAATACCCAGGGTTTCAAGTCCAGTGCAGAGGACCTGTGGTGACATGACCCGAGTGCTCAGTCACATTATCTACACTGAAGTTTTTGTAGAATGGTATGCAGAACGAGTACTTGTCACTAATTATCCTCCTCTTTTTTTTTCCTTCTTCAACTATCAGACTCCTTTCTCCCATCTTTGTCCTCTGACATCCCATCCCCAGCTACTGAAAAGAGATGCAGTAATCTTACTGTTTGTTTGTGTAGTTTAGCCCACTCGAGGGCTCCCATGTACAGACCATCCAACTGTTCAATAATATAGCCAGCATGCCTCCAAAAGGGGTCATCCTTATTATTTCTGATTTGCTGTCTTGTCCATTGATCTTGTTTCCTGCAGAGGAACAAACAGGATGGGATTTTCTTGTTTTTATTTTATAGTATATTTGATAATGCAGGGAAGGGACAAATGTATTACAACCCAGATAATCTAAGTTTCCTAGGGTTTTGAGGCAAATCATGCTTTGGAAATCCTGCAGACATAAATGCTCTGTTCTCTGGGTGGAAACATTCAGATCTATGCAATGTACCCTAGAGTAGCGTGCCCCTACCAGACTTCAGCTTCAAAGAAAGAGTTGGACTCTACCTCTATGGGGGACCCCCAACACAAGAAGGGCATGGAGCTGTTGGAGAGGGTCCAGAGGAGGGCCACAAAGATGATCAAAGGCCTTGAGCACCTCTCCTATGAAGAAAGGCTGAGCAAGTTAGGGCTGTTCAGCCTGGAGAAGAGAAGGCTCTGGGGAGACCTTATAGCAGCCTTCCAGTACCTGAGGGGGGTCCATAGGAAAGTTGAAGAGGAACTTTATATAGGGCCATGTAGTAATAGGATAAGGGGTAATGGTTTTAACCTGGAAAAAGGCAGATTTAAACTAGATATTAGGAAGAAATCCTTTACTGTGAGGGCAGTGAAGCACTGACACAGGTTGCCCAGGGAAGTTGTGGATGCCCCCTCCCTGGAAGTGTTCAAGACCTGGCTGGACAGGGCTTTGAGCAACCTGGTCTGGTGGGAGGTGTCCCTGCCCATGGCAGGGGTTTGGACCAGATGATCTTTAATGTCCCTTCCAACCCAAACCATTCTGTGATGAGATCTAACATCCCCTTACGGTCAGTAAAAGGAAACAAGCATCTGATAGGTCAGACGAACCTTTCCTTTTTAAATCCCCATTTAAGGATAAAACAGACTGACCTCTGAAGAGCCTATTTCTCTCTCCTGAATACAAGTGCAATGAAGGCGTGCTGCTGGTGGTGCTCAAACACTGCCTAAGAACCATTGCCATCCTCCTCTGAGGAAAAGGTAGGAGGCCAAATAACCATCCCATGTGCCAAAACCAAGTCAAGAGGTTACTTGCCAAATAACCCAGGTTTAGAGGATGAGGCAACACAAGCTGCACAGACCCTACAGGAAGTGCAACCAACATTATAAGGATCTCCCAGAGCTCCCTCCTTTGCTGTGTGCAAAGGGCCACAGAAGAACCACAGTTAACCTAAGTTAGGACCAGATTCTGGCCTCTTCCATCCTCCTGTATTCTATACATCCAGCATTATGTACAGCAGAAAGAAAAATATTTAAAATAAAATAATATAAAATGAAATAAAAATAAGAGAGAATGAACCTGGCAAGTAAGCAAACTTTTCCAGCAGTCTATGGCACCAGGGCCAAGCCAATCAGCGCCCCTGTGAATTCATGTAGTTAAGGGGTGCAAGGCGTGCCTCGCTCTCTCCCTGGCACCTGCCCTGACCAGCACGGCCCCACGTGTGGGTAGCGCGGCCCCAGCCTTGCCCGGCTGGGTTCGGCTGACCCCGACCACAACTTAAGCTTAAGGCCCGCTGCAGCTTCATCCCCAAAAAAAAAAAAAAAAAAAAAAAAAAAAAAAAAAAAAAAAAAAAAAAAAAAAAAAAAAAAAAAAAAAAAAAAAAAAAAAAAAAAAAAAAAAAAAAAAAAAAAAAAAAAAAAAAAAAAAAAAAAAAAAAAAAAAAGAGAGGGAGCGCCAGGATCTCCAGAACCATCAGAAGAGACCTGCAGCAGAGAAAAGAGTGGAGCCCGAGGAGGATAACTTTGAAGAACACCAAGGTCGGTTTGAAGGAAAGAAAAGAGAGGGAGGAGGAGGAGGACGCAGAACCCAGGTTTCCCCTTCGAAAGCCGTGGCAAGAGCTGGGTCGACTGGTTGTGTGTGAGGGAACTGTGACCATGGGCAGACCCAGATAGGAGTTTTGTGGACTTGGGCTGAAGCAGTTTTGTGTGTGAGGGAAACTGCAGCTGTGGACAGACCTGTATTGGGCTTTTGAAGACTTTTTTCCCCTATGGAAAGGGGGCCACATGGAAGCAGAGAGAGACACGGGGCTGAGGTTTTTTTTTTTTCCTACTCCTGAGAAGCACATGGTGGGAAGACCGACCGCAAACCCTCATTCCCATCCCCCTGCGCCTCAAGACAAAGGGGGAGGGGGAAGGTGAAGGAACCGGGAACAAAACCTGAGCCTGGGAAGAAGGGAGGGGTGGGGGGAAAGTGTTTTGATTCTTAGATCTGGTTGTCTCTCTCATTGTTCTACTCTGATTTTAGTAACAAATTAAAATTGTTTTGGTTTTGGTTTTTTTTTTTATTCCTTATGATGAGTGTCTTTTGCCTATGACCTGTTTAAGTGGTGAGAAGCCCTCCCAGTCCTTATTTTGACTAGCCCTTTTTTGGGGTATCGTGGTGCTCAGTTATGCACTGGGTTTAAACCACAACAGTGGGTGACAAAATCAGCCAGATTTAGCTTTCTGGAAGTAACAAGATGCAAGAAGTGCGTCAGAGGAAATATGGTCAAGATCATTCAGGGCTAACGACTTGCAGGACAACAGAGCAGCCCATAATGCAAGGCTGCTATTAAGTAAAGCAGCCATGCTGGAATTCAAGACACACAGGCAATAGAAAATTCATACAGGGCCACCTAGTATTTCATCTGTCCTGCGACATTGCATCTTGGGATACCACTGCTATGCTGGATCATTCTGGAATAAAACCTCACAGATTGATATAGCAGCTAGCCCATTTTTCTCACAAGAAGGACAGCAATGCTGAAGAATTATAGTAAAGGAGCACTAAGATTGGTTTTTTCCTCCTCTGTTTGGATAAGCTAAAAAACAATCAACTTTATATACGTGCACCAATAACAGAATTAGTCAGATATGCAACCCCTTGTGGAAAGCACAAGACAAGGGAGAAATAGAAAAAACGTTCCCCAGAGTTAGCAAAGTTTCACAGAAGTATTCATAATGGAAGAACGCATAAGTCTAAGGAGATTTAAACAAGCAGTAATCACAGTTGAGTCTCCCAGTACCTGGCCTGGCTCATCTCCCACTTGTAGTTTCCCACCAGTGTAGCTGCATTATTTGAGCAGAATTACTTTTGATTTACACAGCTGAAGAGAAAAGGGAATCAGGACTTTTGTGACTACAACAGAATTTACATCAGCGGTAGAATAAACAAAGTGCTAGCCTAACAGAGTAAGGAAAGGCTACCCAGTGCTAGAAAGATAAAGGTGCCAAGAGACCATGCTGTTCGGTGTAACATTCAAAATACCAGCTTTTTAGAAAAGGATTTTGACTAGAATGACATGCACAATTCATTGGCATTATCCACAACCTTTTGTAGCAATAGTTTTAAACATTTCGTTGAAGGTATCAGAATTAGGGAAGGGCATACGCCTGTCTTAATGTGCTTTTAGAAATTTTTTTTCACAGAATCACAGAACGTTAGGGATTGGAAGGGACCTCAAAAGATCATCCAGTCCAATCCCCCTGCCGGAGCAGGAATACCTAGATGAGGTTACACAGGAAGGCGTCCAGGCGGGTTTTGAATGTCTCCAGAGAAGGAGACTCCACAACCTCTCTGGGCAGCCTGGTCCAGTGCTCTGTCACCCTCACTGAGAAGAAGTTTCTTCTCAAATTTAAGTGGAACCTCCTGTGTTCCAGTTTGTGTCCGTTCCCCCTTGTCTTATCATTGTTTGTCACCGAGAAGAGCCTGGCTCCATCCTCGTGACACTCACCCTTTAAATATTTATAAACATGAATGAGGTCTCCCCTCAGTCTCCTCTTCTGCAAACTAAAGAGCCCCAGCTCCCTCAGCCGCTCCTCATAAGGGAGATGCTCCACTCCCTTAATCATCTTTGCAGCCCTACGCTGGACTCTCTCCAGCAGTTCCCTGTCCTTCTTGAACTGAGGAGCCCAGAACTGGACGCAATATTCCAGATGCGGTCTGGAATACTGCATCTTTCATACTAATGGCAGTCAATTAGAGGGAAAGAAAGCATATTTTTTTTTAGCCCATAAGGAAAAGAATAAAAAAATCCTTGAAAATTCTGTCACCCTCCAACCCCAAGTCTTGAATAACTTCTTTTCTAATAACTAAATACATACGCCATGAAATTCTGAACTCCGCTTCGAACGGTGGGATTCTTAATTAACTGCGGGTACATATTTGCAGCATGGTCATACATGTGCCTGAAAGAACAAGAGTAGCAGAAGTTATTCGTTTGCATCTTCCCTTCCTTTTGTTTACCAACCCACTGGTCAACAAGCATTGGTAGACAAGCATCACAGTCCACAAAGTAAGCTTCTCCTAAACACTGAAGTTAGTTCACATCTTTTACCCATGACAAACAAAGGTAATATAAATGGGCTGTTGAAATTTAACTTTAAATAAACGACCTTGCTAATACCTGCTCAAACTGCTGCACAATGGAAAGAGGAGAAGAATGAGACTGAACTACTTCATGGCAAAACTTCATGCTCAGGGAGTATTTGTAGGCCAGAAGGATCTTGGAAGCCTTAGCACATTTATTTAAATCACAACAAAAGTAGTGTCCTGGAGAGCTATTCTATTTGGAACCAAGAAAAGAGAGGTGAGAAGAATGTAATTTGCCAATTCAGTTGAGAGAGAGAATTTCAGCCTGAAATCTAGCAGGTTTTACTTAGCACTAACCATGTTCCTTCCATACCGATTAAGTTGAATCTCTCCATTTTAAAGCACATATACATTGATCCCATGTGTTCCCACAGAAACTCCTGCTCATGCCAACCCTAAACAGATACAGCTTTACAGAGACCAAAATTACTGTGATTTTTTGTTGTTGTTTAATTCAGTTAGCAGTTTCATCCTCATTAATTAACAGAAACAAAAGTTGTAGGAGTTTCTTTGGTTGGTTTTGGCTGGCTTTTGTTTGTTTTGTTGAAACGAAGCACTCTACATTTCAGGATGAAGTCAACTGTCAAAAATTGCTCAGGAGAACAAAAGTTAAAATCACCCTTTCATTTTAGGTGAAATGTAATCGCCTAATTCAAGCCAAAACAAAAACTTTTGGATTCTGTCACTCCGTTAATTTTTTCTCCTATCAACATTTCATAATTCGGGTCAAGCTTAACCAACTTTTTTTTTCCAAGCACTGAAATAAAAAATAATTTTAAAAGAAGAGGAGGGGAAAGGAATATTTAGTTCTAGGTGGAAATCAGCAGAAAATTAGTTTGCTGAGGTCTGGAGTTGGTAGAAGTACATCAGTCATCAGTAAAATTAGCTCCTACCAAGTGCTGAGAGAAAGCAAGCAGAACTAAGAAACAGATACCAGCCTCAAGAAAAGTACCTGCCAGCAGGACAGAATTCCCTGTATTAAACCTCATGAGGACAACTGCCTCCAAGAGGAAGGCAGACAGGAGCTCTTCAAAGTTTCCCTCAGGGCATAATTTGAGAATACAGAGATGACTGAATAGTTTGCTGATAATTAGAAAATCATCCATTGACCTTCTCCCCTCTCTTTCTGTCCCCTGCCCCATTCCCAGCTGTTTAAGTACTTGATTGCATGACACTACTGCCTTATTTCAGCTCTGGTAGCATCCTGACTACCAAATCTAACTGTCAGCACGCGTTGTCAAGACACTGACACAGCAAAAAACGGAATCTATTTTTTTGTCATTTTGTAGTTTGAATTAGGTTGTTATGTGGACAGATGAGCAACAGAGGAAGTGCAAGAAGGCAGTGTCAGTAAACGAACAGATGCATGAAAGGATCTGACCAGTACCAGGGCAGACACAAGCTTGGGCTTTGGATCTGTGGCAGGAGGTGCTGGGGTATGAGAGGGGAGCATTCAGCAGCTTTGCACCATTACACCTTTCCTGAAACTGCTGCTATAGTATCAATATTAGTTCTAGAGTTTCCTGTCTGCCATTTAACACAGGACTACATGCCATAATCATAACCTGCTTTTTGAAAAGGGCAAGAAAGTTGGAGACAGATCAATATCCTCCACTTCTGCAGTCACAGAGAATTTGGCAAATAAAAACCCAAAGCAATTTCAGGAAGGAAATTATAGTGTAACATACTCCATATTACAAGTCTGAGCTCTCATGGCACTAGACAAGAGAAGCAAATAGCATGAGACAGTTCACCTGGCAGCAGGTCTTTTAAGGATGAGAACCAGATGAGGAGGATAAAACCAGCCAGGATACTATTCTAATCACTGCCTAGGCCAGGACAGATGATCAGGCTTCCAGGTTCAGCCATCAGCTCTCACTTCATTTTTCACTCTAAGGTTATACAACACAAGGCAGATTTTACACCAGTAGTATCCTTAAGCTGTGATGGCTGATGCAGAGACTGGGTTAGTCCAGAATCAGGCAACTAAAATCAGCTTCTTTGATGGCTTTCCTTCTTGTATATGCTAATAGAGGACATACAATTTCTGGAACTGTTTTTCTCTTTTTTTAAATGCCCAAGATTATTGAGATTTTTTTGCTCAGTTGCCCTGGTGGGGTTTTTTTTTGTTTGGTTGGGTTTTTTGGGGGAGTGGAGCTTGCTTTAACAAAGCTGCTACGTGCATGGCTTGCATGTTTTGTAAGGGTATTACCCTCTGAAGTAAACTGGATCATTACAGTAAGGTAAGGTTTTGCAGCTGTATCTAAGGCCAAATTACAAAAGCAATAACAAAGCTTGGCCCAGAATTCAAAGTCTAAAAACAGCAAAGCAAGGCCCTACTTCTTGAAATTAGAGAAGATGATGACAGGACTCAGGTCAGCTGAGGTTATATCAGAAGAGTACAATTAATGTTGCTTTAAATTTAAATACTGCTCTTAGGCACCTGGCATGCCCCAGTTGGAACTGATTAAAAGTACGTACTTAATGTCACAGATCTGGATGTGCTCTACCATTCCCCAAGTAAAGTGAGGCCTCATTAACACTTCTGTTTATAATGGGGGGGGGAGGGAATTCATACCTCAGCAAACCGCAGTAAACATATCTGGCTGCATGGTAGGACTGGACATTACAGAGAGGCAAGAGACTGGTGATAAAAAGAAGTATCTGATCCCCAGACACTACAGGCGCTAGAATTAGATTTATTCCACCCCTAATTATGTTTTCAACTAGACAGCTACTATCTGAATCAAGTGCTGACACTAGCAAGATGAATCATGCTCTAGAAAAGGCCTGTTTCTACCCTCACTGGTAAACAGGACTGACTTAGTTACTGTTTTTTCCACCACAGACCTATATAGCTAGAGCTGAGATTAATTCTTCCTCGGTAATCTGAGATAAGACAGTCCTAGCATGTTTGTTTGCTTTTTCTCAAATCTGGTTGTCTCATATTCTGCTTAGGTTCTTACTAATGACAAAGCATACATCTTTAGGAGAGAGGTTTTGTCACAATTCTGCTTGTATCAAGAGGGCTAGTTGTGTCTAGAAACCCTCCATGCCCTAAGTGTACTGCAAGAACTGAGCTAGCCAAGAATTCCTGGAGATCTCCAAATTGCAGGCACTGTCAAGCTGAAACTGTTGCTCACCAGACAGCTTCTGCAGGAAGCATCATATCCTTGGGATCAGACTTTCAATGCATCCTTCCCAATAATGGAAGAGCTCTTCCTGGTAGGACTTCAGGGTTTCTGCAAAGAGCCTTGGGTCATTTCTACTTCAGGAGTTACTGCCACAAACAGGTACAAGACAGAGACCCTGGAGTTATTCAAGCTGCAGGTAGTGATGTGCTAGAAGGCACTTCAATAACCAGGCATAGCCAATGTATTCACATTGGAGGGGTGTCTGAGCCACCTGAGGTGCCTGTGCTTGCACAAGCAGGTGATGCAAGCATCTTCACTCTGGTAGCTAAGTGGCTGTTGATGCAAATAAAGCCTTCACTACAGCCAAACACATTGTTACACTCTTCCTTGTTGTTACCAAGTTTTTAAAAAGAAAGGCTGGGCTGTAACTACTATGGACACAGATGTCTGCAAGAGCAGAATGTGTTTAGAGACATGTTCTCATAAAAGAAGTCATAACGGTGCTAGAGAGCTTCTCTGAAGACAGGCTGAATGGGCCAGGCAGCCTGATGGGAATAGAGTTACAGATTGGGAAAGACTGTTTCCTGGTTTTACTTCAGAAAACTCGTGTAACTGTCCCAAAGAAAGAACATCTGCCTGCAAGATAATTAGGATTCTGTGAATCGCTAGGCAAGATAAAGAAGGAGCAGTGGAGCTCTGAGAGCAATCTTAACATCTGCAAAGTTAGTGAGTTCTCACTACTCCTGTGGTTCAGGAAATTGCAAACGTGTTGTATGAGAGGATTCATTAGATTCGAGCAGAATAAAAAACTACCCAGGTCATCCAGCTGATGACTGAAGTAATAAAAAAAACCTGAACTAATAGGTTCTTTGTCTTCTCAACAGTCAGAGAAGTACCTCACTAATTCATCTCTGCTCCTTAGCTGGAGTATTTTCAATAGGTATTCTTAGCTTCAAAGAGAAGCCCTCTTTATCTGAAATAGCTTTACAAGACCTGAGAGAAAAAGCTGATATTCCTAACTCCCAGTGAGAAATACTATTCCACTGCAGATAGAGATGTACAATGGGGCAAAGACATAGCCAAAACCCAAATCCAGATGGTATGTATAGTATTTGACAATGATTTTAATGTTGGTAAGCATTTTCAGGTTTTGCAATGTCAGAGGATTTCTCAGTGGATTTCCTCAAAAAGTTTCCTCAGAAAAGAAAGGTTTTGGCTACTTCTGGTTTTGCATCTTAACACACACTCACACTTCAACTGCTTTAAAAACAGTTGAGTTTCCAACTTTGCTTAAAAGCCAGAGCCTCAAATCCTACTTTTCCACATTGACACAAATCCTCAGCTTCACTTCCAGACTTTAAGATCCCTGTTCATTACTGTTGCTGCTATACCCACTTCTCTACAAATGGCCACTCGGTGCTGGAGCTGGTGGCCCTACCATAACAACAGCCAGGGCTAGGAACCAGCCCCAGGTAAGCACCTGGCCTAGAGAAGGCAAAAGCCTTGAGCAGAATAACTTGTGAGCACCTTCACTTCTGTGAATCTTCACTTCACACCCATGTAGAAAACAAAGGGGAAAGATTCTCTCCCCTAGACCTACGCATAAACTAAGACATTAGATAAAGATCCTGCAGAGTTTAAAGGAATAGGCATATACTTAACTTTGTTTAAAAGACAGCCAGGAAGACTTATAAATCCACTATGGAGGCAGAAGGCAAACAGAGTATAGGTTGTTGTCCACCAGCCGTATCTGAAAATTGTTCAACAGATTCTGTGATTCTGTCTGTGACAACCTTCCCCTGCTGGTCTGCTCAATGTAGTCTATGGGTATTTATTTTAGTGTTCTGGAAGCAAAGCTAGTGAAGCCAAATTCATCTCACTGTATCCATGACAAGCATCTCTCAACTATTCCCCAGCCATGCTGGGGGATCCCAATCCCCAGATTTGGGAATATTTTTTTCCTATAATTAAGTTGACAGAGGAAAATAGGGAGATTGTTCAGCAACAAGCCACGAATCATGTTCTTAGCTGTATCACCAGCTATATCCCACTACTTAGGATCCCACAGTGCTATTCTGTCTTCCAACTTAGTCAAGGAAAGAATAGGGCTTGGTTCTAGAGCTGTTTATTTTTTTGGATGGTCGTTTAGGTTTTCTGGTTTTGGAGGGGTTTTTCCATTGTGTGTTTTGTTTGGTTGAGTTTTTTTTCTTTCATTTGCTGGTGGTTTTTTGTTGTTTTGTTTTGTTTGGCTTTTGGGGGTTTATCTTTGGGGTTTTTTTGTCTTGGTTTTGGTTTTTTTTGTTTTTTTTTTTTTTTAAGAAAAAACTGCTCTGGATTCATAACAAGTACAAAATTCTGTCAGTTTCCATATATCTACATTGCAGCAGAGATTCAGTCTATCATCTTCTCTTCAAAGGGCTTTCAGGAGTACACTGATCCTCCTAGTCACACACCAGTCTGCTTTCAAGCCTATCAGTATATGAGCTTTTTTTTTTAATTTGTCCAAGAGAGACTCCCCATGCTGTGAAGTTCCAGTATCTGCTCCCCAGCAGCTTCTTGACAGTGTTTAGTGAAAAAGGTCCTTAAGGAAGCCCTGCAGTCCTTGCAAGCAACATCTCTCCCTGCCTGATCTGCTCCCAGTTGCCTTATCTGTTGGTCAGTCACCTAACTATAGGCTGGGGAGATAACTATTCTTTCTGCTGCCCTTTTTGTAGTTATTCACAACACAGGGCAGGCCTTACACACTTCCTTACACATATACTATCCTGTGAGTACATCACTTAATCAGTAATATAGATAGAGTACTCATCTATCTCATCAAGGTGTTTGGAGAGCCTACAGAACGAGGAGAGGGCACATCCTGATCCCATAATGAAGATGCTATACTTCATACCTGCTGCTAATTAGAAGAGCAGCACATAACTGCAAAATGTCTGGTTAGTTTAAATGGATGAGAATTATGGGAAAGGAACAAACCAGCAAAGAAAGAACTCACAAGTATACATAAATCTACTGGAAGTGTCTTAACCTGAGCTGCTTCCTGAGGTACTTACGGAGCTGTGAGGTAGCCTTCCAAAAAGCCAGCTGCATACATGATATCTTCATTGCTTAAGGTCTGACTGCCATAGCCCGCTCTGATCTCCAGAACTCCCCAACCTGTTGTCTGTACAGTGTTGTTGTAGAAACCATAGGCATCTCCACTCCTGTCCAGTATATTCTTGACCTGAAATGTTTTTTCAGCTCTATTCCAGTACACAGTTGCATAGCGGATTTCTGTGGTGGAGAAGAAAGGAGGCAAGGGAAACAAACAAACATAAGTAGGTATTTCCTATCTAATACTGAAATGTAAAGACAGTATTTTAGCAATATTAAAAGTCAATTTGATAGCTTTCCATCAGGTTTAGTTCTACTGTGGAGAGTAGTACTAATGTCAATATACTGAACAGTGGCATGAGAACTAACTGGAGTTTTACCAAGACAAAAGCTTACAGCTAAACATTCTCATGTTACTCTTCTGGAAATTATCCACAACTCTTTTAGTATAGAGCTCCAACACAACTATGTCTTAATATAAAATTCAGAAAAGTATTTCCTTAGCTGGCCCAAAAGAAAATCTATACAAGTCTTATTGAAAGCAACTTTAAAAGACAGAATACCTTAGCAACTGCGAAGGATTATAAGCTACTGTTGACTTTGTTTTCCACCTAAAGATTCAAAAGGCTACAAGAGTCTTCTAAAATGTCTCTCTGGGCAACTAATTCTGGAGGTGGCATTACCAAACAGGAGCACTAAAACTCAGTGGATCACAGGATTAAAGACAAAACCATCACAGGTATGCAGCCCTTTGTAAGACACACAATCCCTATCACCCAGCTGGAATACAATTGATCCCAAGCGTGAAATGAGCAGGAAGAGCACTAGACTGCTCAGAGTGCTGCTTGGACAGCTGTTTAACAAAAATTCATCATTAGGTGGCTTTTAATCCTGCTGAGCTGAAGAACAAAGAGCAAGGTAAACTGCTTTCAAAAAAAACCCAAAACCTACAACTCCAATTCAGCCTTCCCTAAGGTGGGACCCGATTACGTCAGATCTCTATTTGTGACTGCTCAAATCACCACTACAGTACTGCAAGTGAAAAGAGTTCAAAAATCCTGAGTCAGAGTTCCCAGAACTATTTGAAAAGTTTTAAAAGATAAGCTCATAAACACTTACAACTACTGAGAAACCAGCAATGTTTTTATTTCCCTGACCTTTCTCCAGTGTGTGTGGCAACTAGTCCTGCCAGTTCATAGCAAGAAATTACAATTTTGGTTACTACTCCTCACAACAATCCATTATGTGCATCATGCTCATAACAGCTGCAAAATAGAGAGCTAGATCTAATTCTGGAAGATCTCAGACAAAATACTTAGTATGCATGCTATGATAGTGGAACTATAAAAAAAAATAATGCCAGCACAATACCTAACACTCTCCAAAAAGCTGTAAAATGTTTGTGATTAAGCAGCTAGTTTGAGTTCAAATTAAGTGCACCCACTTTATTCAGTACTATAGAACATAACATAAAGAAGCTATTTTTATGAAGAGCCATGACACATTTGAATAATAAAAAAAAGACAAAAACATTTTCCAAGAGCCAAACTTTCTCCAACCAATCTCTTTTTGACATAGCAGTTACTCAGTTGTTTTAAGCCAGTTTTCATCCATTTTAACAGACTGTTGAATAATCTGTCGTTCAACAGCCAGAAAGCCCTTCTACCCTAGTGTTCCAGCAATAGCTAAAAACCGTTTCTTACTGAGAATCACAGAATGGCTGAGGTTGGTGGGGACCTCTGGAGGTTGTGCAACCCCGCCTTGCTCAAACAGGGTCACCTACAACAAGTTGCTCAGGATCATGTCCTGACAGCTTTTAGGTATCTTCCAAGGATGGAGATTTTTGCAACCTCTCTGGGCAACCTGTACCAGTGCTTGCTCACCTTCATAGTAAATGTGTCTCCTGCTGTTCAAAGAGAGCCTTCTGTGTTTCAGTCTGTGTCCACTGCCTCTATTCCTGTCACTGGACACCACTGAAAAGAACCTGGCTCCACCTTCTTCACACCAATTCTTCAAGTATTTTTACACTTCATGAGACTCCCCTTGCACCTTCTCTTCTCCAGGTGGAGCAGTCCCAGCTGTCAGAGCTACTCCTCACGTGAGAGATGCCCCAGTCACTTACTCATCTTTGTAGCCCTTTGCCACACCCTCTCCAGTAGATCCAGATTTCTCTTGTACTGGGGAGCCCAGAACTGGACCCAGCACTCCAGGCATGTCCTTACCAATGCGGAGCAGAGGTGAAGGATCACCTCCCTTAACCTGCTGGTAACACTCCTCCTGATGCAGCTCAGGAGACACTTTTCTGCCACAAGGACACATTGGTGGCTCATGTTCAGCTTGGCATCCACCAGGATGTCTCCATGCCCTTTTCTGCAAAGCGGCTTTCCAAATGTTCAGCCCCCAGCACATATGGGTACCTGGGGTTATTCCTGCCCAAGTGCAGCACTGGGCATTTCCCTTTCTTGAACTACGTGAGGTCCCCATCAGCCCATTTCTCAAGCCCGTTGAGGTCTCTCTGAATGGCAGCACAACCCTCTGATGTATCAGCCACTCCTCCCAGTTTTGTATCATCAGCAAACTTGCCAAGGGTACACTCTGCCCCATCACTCAGATCATTAAGGAAGATGCTGAACAGTATCGACTGCTGGCATACATCGCTAGTTCCTGGCCTCCAGCTAGACTTTGTACCACTAAGCATTGTGTCAGCCTTCATCACGTACTAGAGATACTTCTCATGTGAAAAGGAAAAGCGTTAGCAAAAAGAGAATTTTAATAGGGAAGGAACTGGGTCCCTCACTCTCCCCATTCTATGAAGAGTTTTTATATGAATCTCTATTTAGAGATGAGATCATTTCAGGGACTTGGAACACAGTGTTTAAAAACGTTTTCCAGCTGCTAGGTACTGAGGCTATTTAAAGGACTGAGACATGACAGACTTTGGATAACTCTTCAAGCCACTATAATCTTACTTTTCTGTTGTCTCCTTAACTATCTTCTAGTAGTACACAGAGTAATTGCTACTTCAGCTTAAGGGCAATCATGGGAATCACTCAGACTGAAAAATCTATATGAAGAAGAGCAGACTGATAAGGGAAGAGGAGAGCCAAAGGCCACCTTACAAAGCTAAAGCTCACATAAGCAAAGAGGTCAGGGAAAGGGAGGTCCTGTAAAAAGGTGGTGCAAGGGGTCAGCACAGAACACAACCGCCCTGTCCAGCAGTAGAGGGGAAGGCTGATGCCAACCAAGAAGCCCACTGCGCTGCAGAGAGGAGACAGGCCGCGGGCCCAGTACACAAGGACAGCTGAGGAATGGGTGAAAAGAGCAAGAACAAAGTAGAGGAAAATGAGATCTTCCCATCTCTTCAGTAGGCTGTGGAGGGGTGGCAAGCCAAGAGAACCATGGCAGCTGGGTATTGTTATTAGTGCACACAGACTAAACAGGTATGGCAAAGAAACCTTTTTCTGTCTAAAGCAAAATAGCCCTTCTTTTTCTTTTTAAAAGGCCGATGCTGGTGCCAGACAGACTGATCTGACACAGGTACTCTAACACAGCAGGCTGTGTTTCTTTGTTTTATGCTCTGCCAGAGCACGAACACGCAGAGCTATTTTCAAAAGTCAGAACAAACTTTAAAATTACCCTTGGAGTTTGCCCTGCCCCAGCTTCACTATATGATAAATTTAAACTGAAGAAAACCAGTACTTGAAAAGGATGGAAGAGAGGGGGAAGCACAAAATTACAGGATAATTTGCAACAAACATGGAGAGACCTTTAGAAGAACAGCATCAAGGCAGCTGTCATAGATGTGGCTTAACAATGATGCTAGAAAAGACCATTTCCCATTAGTGATTTTTTTTTCCATCACCTCATCTATTTTTATGTCAGTTTCTCCAAATATAATTGCCCTGGTCTGAAGTGTCAAAATACCTACATATGAAATTGCTCTATTTATTTCAAGGAACATATATATAATCATACAGTAATTGCTATAATTTAGAAGATAAGTCTTTATCTTGCTACAGATGGGAGTTAAAACTACAAGCTTATAAATGTGTGTACACTTAAAACACACATTACAGCATAATCAAAGTATTTGCTGTAATCCAGCAGTACTACCTTTGCCAAGAAAACCATCAGAACTGAAGTATACTATGGACTACAGATATACAAGAAGCAACTGCACATTTCCAAATAATCCCATGTGTCCTACAACAACAGGAACTTCCCCCTTGAACAATGCTGGCATTTTTATATTTATTTTTGGAGAGTGAGGCAGAGGCCCTAACATCTCTTATCTCAGCAGTTGTACTGGTAACTTCTTACATATGAACCAAATGCAACGTCTCCATGAATCTACAAATCATCCTTTTCTCATCAAAACTGGACTTCCCAGTGTGCAGCTGAGAATGCTGGCAATTATTTCAGCCTATTGCCTGCTCTCAGGACCCTGAAGAACAGAAAGGACTGATAATGTGTGGCTATTTCATAACAGCATTACTTAGAAAAATCCCAAAAAACAAGCTAAAGCACACACTATTTACTGTGATGAATGACTCAAAATCCCTGAAGATTGAGTAGGTCAGCAGAGTCACCATTCCCCTCCTTCTCCTTTCTGCAGTCAGGAGGGCCTGGGAGGAACTTTTCCTCAAATTGCCCATTTTAAAGATACATCAATGCATCTGCCAAATAGAAGTCCAGAAATAGGCACTATAGCTGGGAGAGTGCTGGGTTTTCTTCAACAAGTGAGAAGTATCTGCTTTTTGCCAAGATTATACTCTAAATAATGGCAAGATGAAGATACTTCAGCTGTGGCTAGGAGGTGGTGGTAGCCACCTTAGTTTTTAGGCTGAAATGTTGAATCTGTTCTCTGCCTTTCAGGCTCAATACAGGCATTGCCAAGGTTATGTTAAAAGCAGAGCTTGCCTTTTAGTTGGTGGCAGCAGGAGAGTGGAAATACATACATGTTCACGAGAACACAGAGAAAGTAATATTTTCATTATATCCAGGAAATACTAAGTAAGAGGACTGTGGCACGATGCAAAAAAGAAATCAGATGCTGAAGAGGACGTGAAGGGGTTGCCGTAACTTGTAAAGAAAGAACAGAATAGACGGAGATGAGGAAGAAAAATGAAGAGCAGTGTAGCGAAATGGCCCACTGATATTTATTTAATAAGTTGTATCTA